ATACTTTCAAAAATAAAGACAGCCTGGCCAGTGTGGCTCAGTGGTTGAGCATCCACCAGGAACCAGGAGGTCACGGTTCGATTTCTGGTCAGGGCACATGTCCAGGTTGTGGGCTCGATCCCCAGTAGGGAGCATGCAGGAGGCAGCCATCAATGATTCTCATCATTCATGTTTCTATCTCTCTCTCCCTCTCTCCTTTCCTATCTGAAATAAAAAATAAATTTAAATAAATATAAAATTTTATAAAACAAGGGTGATAAAGTTTATATTATGTGATTTTATCACATAAAAATGTAAATATAAAAATTGGTTAAAATGGCAAATTTTGTTGTATATGTCAATTATAAAATAATTTACTATATCAAGAAACCACTGAATTATATGCTATGTGAATTATATTTCAATAAAGCTGTTAAAAAAAAAGGGGGGGCAGAAGAAATAGCAATTTGTTGAGAGTATCCAAAGCTTTGAGCATAGAGGAGCCTAACGCTCCTACTTCTTCCAAATTTATCCTGGCCTCCAGGTGACAACTCTTCTCTTTCCCTTTCCAAAGCACTTTCTTATTAGGTCTAGCCTCACAGTCAAAGTAAGTTAAAGAAGCTGCAGTAGCATTCACAGGTAGGGGCATGGGATTCAGGATTCACACTCCATTTAGCAGCAGAGCCCAAATCTTTATTTATTTTAAATCATACTGTAGACATACAATAAATGTTAGGCATGTGCCCTTCCTCTCCTCCTCTTCCAGGTCAGTAAGTATTAAAAGAGCAACTTCTCTGCTCCTATACTGGGATATCCACTGACCTACCTCACATGTGCTGGAGCTGTTAAATACAGAACACTATTTAAAATGTGGTTGTTAAATCATGCCTATCACCTATTATTAAATCTTAAAAACACAACACAAAGTTGTTACTAGGATAAGCTTCTTTTGGTAAAATAAACATTTCTATAGCATATAAAAAGGATGATAAGATAAAGACTGAATATCAATAATTACCTCTGAATGAGCCTCTGAGAGGTGGGACTAGGGTGAGTTTCTGCCTTTTTGGCTTACCTGTATTTTTTTTTAATATATTTTATTGATTTTTGCAGAGAGGAAGGGAGAGGAATAGAGAGTTAGAAACACTGATGAGAGAGAAACATCGATCAGCTGCCTCCTGCACACCCCCTACTAGGGATGTGCCTGCAACCAAGGTACATGCCCTTGACTGGAATCGAACCTGGGACCCTTCAGTCCGCAGGACAACGCTCTATCCACTGAGCCAAACCGGTTAGGGCGGCTTACCTGTATTTTTATGACTCTGTAACTTCTGTAATAATAAACAGAAATTTTATAAAAACAAATCAGCTAACTCAAAAATTCACTGTCTGCCTATTACACCGCAGGCACTTTCACATGCTAACGCACTGAAGCTGGATTAGCACCATGTGTGAGGTAGACACATTTTCTCCATTTTGCAAATGAGAATAAACAGGCTCAGAACAATTACTTGATCAAGGATGTGTAGCTAATAACTGACAGAGCAAGGATTACAATCCAGGCCTCCTAACTTCAAGCTCAGGGCCCTTTCCATTCCATCATATTTTAAAGGGCAATTTGCATGACACTGTTTTTTAAAAATCTGATGAGACTGTTTTAAGAAGACTTGCTATGTAACCTTGGGCAAAGTCATTTAACCTCTGGAGGCCTTGGTTTCTCATCTAAAAATTGAAGAGTTGATGAACAGGAATAGATCCAGAGACAAATGGCAGGAGAGTGGGGGGTTAGAGAGCAACCAAAGGACTTGTATGCATGCGTATTAGCATAACCAATGGACACAGACACTGGGGCAGTGGGAGCTTGCCCCGATAGGAATGGCTGGGGGGGAGGGGGGGGCGGATATGTAAAACTTTAGACAAAAAAAAAAAAAGTGAAGAGGTTGGAAAATATGTATTCTACCTCTAAGAGCCCCACCTGCTAATGGATTTTAAGTCCAGTCACTGAGAGATAGTATCTAAAGAAAATCCCCATAGGCAAGAATGAATGAATGGTTGGCCCAGCTGGTTGAGTGTAGACCTATGAGGTCACGATTGGACTCAGGGTCAGGGCACATGCCCAGGTTGTGGGCTCCATTCCCAGTAGGGGCATGCAGGAGGCAGCTGATGAATGATTCTCTCATCATTGATGTTTCTACCTCTCCCTCTCCCTTTCTCTCTGAAGCCAATAAAAAAACTTTTTTTAGAGAGTGGAAGGGAGGAGAGAAACATCCATGTGTGAGAGAGAGAGATATCGACTGGTTGCCTCCTGCACACGCCCCAACCAGGGCCTGGGAATGAGCCTGCAACCGAGGTACATGCCCTTGACCAGAATCAAACCCTGGATCCTTCAGTCCGCAGGCAGAGGCTCTATCCACTGAGCCAAACCAGCCAGGAAGACCCACAGTCATTTTTAATGGAAACAGGTGGCATGCATACACTGTCAAGAGGAAATATGGAACCCATGGGGGAACCATAACCTTCCTGGTTAAAGCAACAGCTGAAAGCTCCAGATTCCATCCTGGCTAACTCACGATCAGAAACCACATACTGCCAAGTTAGGAGAACATAAAAACGGACGTGGAGGGTGTGGGGTGGCCAAAGCAATCGTTGCTGCAAGCTATGGTAACTGTGTGACTTTCCACGCGGGCTCATGGAAAGGCAGAAGAAACAGCCATTTGCTGGGAGCACCCAAAGCCTTGAGCAGAGAGGGGCCTGGTGCTATAGAGCAAAAAGCGCCCTGGGCGACCCGAAGCGGAGAAACACACCTTCCTCCGCCCCGAGAATTTCAGAGGAGACTGAAGCGCGCAGAGAACTCTGGGAGACGCCACCCTCGTAACGAGCCCACCCAACAACACTTGTGGGAAAGGTGAAAGAATGCGATAAAAAGCCTGCCTGTCCCAGGGCATCAGAGAGCGGAAAAGGCCTTTAGGAGGTGAAGTTCCTGTAAAGGGGTCGCTGGGCAGCCGCACCCTCCTTCCTACCCTGCGGACACGGCGGCACCCCCCGCTCCCGGAGACCGTTCCACGGCCCTGCCTCGAGGGCCAGCAAAGTACAGCGTTCACGCTGCGGGCGAGAGAGAGATTCCATTTTGCTCCGACAGGCTCCGACCCGCTAGGAGGACGAGCGCGGACCGACGGAGAGCTCCTTAGAGCCGGTGCCATCGTCTCGGAGAATTCAAACGACATCCAGCCCCGAGGACCGCAGCCGGGACACCGCCGGCTTCCCACCCAAAGCCGGGCGCTCCGCGCTCGG